TTCCTACCCCTACTTCCAGGAAGCATGGCGAAGGCAAACCCTCCCAAAGAAATTTAATTTTCATGTTACTAATTTTTTGTTGACATTTATATATCTACATAATCATGGAGGTCTCTAGAATCATCCAAACAAAACAAATCTTCCAGGAGATCTATAGTTTTTTGTATACTTAGTCAAAAGACTTGTAAGTACATATCATGGGGAAATGGGGTATACTGTGTTAATAGGTTAATAAATCAAGGTTATTGGTCTTGTTTAGTGCTTTTTGCTTTCATAATATCCCACCTAAAACATAACTTAACCCTTTAACTGACATCTCTCTCGCAAAGAAATGTAATTCTCATGTTACTAATAAGTATTTTTTGTTGACATATATATCTACATAATCATGAAGGTCTCTAGAATCATCCAAACAAAACCACATGATTTCCAGTTTTCAAGTGACAGCAGCAGTTTACAAACTTCCGTCAGTCACACAAAAGGAAGAATGGAAAGATAAAGAGCTAACGCATGAAATTAATTGCTGTAGATTATCTTTTTCTCCCTTTTATGACATTATGTCGGGGCAAAATATTGAGGCCCCTTCATCCAGTTTGGATGCGTTTCATTCTAATTGGTCAAGAACCCTAATTCTTTTTATGACTAGTTGTCACGTAATCAAGGCTCAGATCCAACTGCGAGTGAAGAAAACAGTTTATTGTGAATTCACAATATGTGGAAACAAACAGGAGATCCCGAATCCGAGAGAGACAGCCAAGCTCGTAGAAACCCAGTCCGAGAGCAGGAGTCAGGCCAATGGGAAACAAAAAGGCCGAGCAGGACCGGAGCACGGTCACACAGAACACACTTAGGATTCTAGGAGAGAACAAACAGTGGTGAGCGAGACAACGAACTGACAAAGGACCGTGAAACAGCGAGCCAGATAAAGGCAGCCCAGATAGGCTTCAGGTGAACCCTGATTAGGAGGCGGGGTTGCCAGACGCAACACACACACACACAGGAATGAGCACACCGACCCACGAACCGTGACAGTACCCCTCCTCCTAAGAGCGCCTCTCGGTGCTCCCAGGGGAACCTACCTGGCGTTTGTAATCATCGATAAGGGAGTGATGTAATATATCTCTCGCAGGCACCCAACTCCTCTCCTCCGGCCCGTAACCCTCCCAGTCCACCAAATACTGAAATCCTCGTCCCCTCCGTCTCGAGTCCACGAATGAAAATACCTGCATGTTCAATAATAAGTAAATGAATAAACAAACAATCATGGGTGTAGCCTACACATGCTAATTATTTACTTGTAAGCTGATACTAAAACTGCTTACGTAAGGGAAAGTTCTCCCAAAAATGGAAATTGTGTCATCATTGTGTCAACCTCAAGTTGCAAACCTATGAGATTCTTTCTTCTGTTGAGCACAATAAACTGGTATACAGTTTACTATAAAGCCTGTATGTGGCAGCCTTGAGCAGCTTGTGATAATGAGATATAATAGCATTTATCTGGTAATAATTCAGAATGCTTAATTATCTACTTCTCAGGGATTACTGAGAAATTCCCCTTCCTTGAAAGACTGTTATTAATTTTCTCTAATGTTTTAGAGACTGGTTGTATTTTGCATTCACAATGAGAATTCACAGCACATTATTACCAGCACGTAAATTTGTTCAAGTTCAAATGTACTTTCATTTGCCTCATTTGCTTACTTTTCATTAATTGAAAATTTCCTTCACTTTTCAGTAATATTACATTTATACCGTCATTGTTGTGAATAAATCTGGAAAAGCATTCCATGTTGGTCACTGAATATATTATTATTCATTATTGATGTTATTGTCAGTCACATAATTAAAAATGTTAATTAAAAACAGTGTACAAAGACTCAACAGGCATTCATTTTATTACAGAAGCTAAATATGAATGTGGTTAAATAACTAAAACAGGCCTACGTCTTCTTCCTTATCATTGACAAGAAAAGTGATTTTTGTTAAAAATAACACTGATTGTATTTTTTTTCTAAATAAAAACTAATTTAAGTAGGTATTTATAATTTCTGACTTCAGAGGGAATGTATGAACTCATATAAAGTGTAAGCCGCTTTGCATAAAATTGTCTGTCAAATGTAAAATATGAAGGCATTTTGGTAGGATTTATGTAAAACAAAAAGGTTTATTATTCATTATTGATGTTATTGTCAGTCACATAATTAAAAATGTTAATTAAAAACAGTGTACAAAGACTCAACAGGCATTCATTTTATTACAGAAGCTAAATATGAATGTGGTTAAATAACTAAAACAGGCCTACGTCTTCTTCCTTATCATTGACAAGAAAAGTGATTTTTGTTAAAAATAACACTGATTGTATTTTTTTTCTAAATAAAAACTAATTTAAGTAGGTATTTATAATTTCTGACTTCAGAGGGAATGTATGAACTCATATAGAGTGTAAGCCGCTTTGCATAAGATTGTCTGTCAAATGTAAAATATGAAGGCATTTTGGTAGGATTTATGTAAAACAAAAAGGTGTGAGTGTGATACATTTTAAAATACGCAGACAGTTGGGCCCGCCTTTAACAACAATCGTCGGCCACTAGATGGTAGTATTTAACCACCACTGAACCCTCCCGAACGCTCATTTGTTTCAGTTTCGATTTTGTACTTCCTCTTTAACGCTTGTCCTTTAGTGGCAAGTTGGGTGTGTTTGTGCAACCAATTCGAGTTAAAATACAGAAGAAAGGTGCAAAAAGCTATACTTTGTATAAAAATGTTGCTTTTCAGATACTCGACGGCCGTCATCTGCGCCGTGTTCATCGTCACAGGAGCTGTTTCAGGTAACTTATGTATCGTTATTATCTTCTCGAAGATAGCGCGGCATTCGTTCTTGGTTAATTTGAAGCCGTTTAGTTCTAAATATATTATAGTGTTGTAGCCTAATTTACAATACCAAATGATTGGGGTGTGTTTTAGATAATTATATTCACGACAGACTCTGTTGTGGCATAGTTTCTCGCATTACTATTGCAAGTTATTAGCTTCAGTCCCACGGCCTACTTGGAAACGGCGTGTAACGTTCGTCCGATTCAGATACCATGGTTTCTTTAATATATGTAATGGTAGTAGTCATCAATTTTTTTACTGTGGTATTTACTATGTACTATGTATTTCATGTACATTACATATTTAGATATCTTACTATGGCCAGATATGGTACATTATGGGCTAGTTTTAGGGACTTTCCCTAAAGTGCTATCCAGAAACTACCAGTATCGACAGAAATTTGCTCGTTGAATGTTGACTAACATATTCTTTCATATTTTATTAGGTCAAGATGAGAAGAAAGCAGTGTTGGGTGGTACAGTGTCTTTTAGTCCAGCCAAAATAGATCCTCCTGTCAACAGCATTATATGGAAACACAGAAACAGTGAAACTGTTGTCAAGGCGATTGAATGGGATGATGAAGGACAGACTCTGTTGTGGCATAGTTTCTCACATTACTATTGCAAGTTATTAGCTTCAGTCCCACGGCCTACTTGGAAAGGGCGTGTAACGTTCGTCCGATTCAGATACCATGGTTTCTTTAATATATGTAATGGTAGTAGTCATCAATTTTTTTACTGTGGTATTTACTATGTACTATGTATTTCATGTACATTACATATTTAGATATCTTACTATGGCCAGATATGGTACATTATGGGCTAGTTTTAGGGACTTTCCCTAAAGTGCTATCCAGAAACTACCAGTATCGACAGAAATTTGCTCGTTGAATGTTGACTAACATATTCTTTCATATTTTATTAGGTCAAGATGAGAAGAAAGCAGTGTTGGGTGGTACAGTGTCTTTTAGTCCAGCCAAAATAGATCCTCCTGTCAACAGCATTATATGGAAACACAGAAACAGTGAAACTGTTGTCAAGGCGATTGAATGGGATGATGAAGGTTTTAACACCCCGAATCAGAGATTCAAACACATCACGACACTTAATGAAAAAACTGGAGAAATCACTATAACTAATTTAACTATCAACCATACTGGACGTTATACTATTGACATCAACAGTAAAGAGCAGGCACAATTTTTCATCTTGACTGTTATGGGTGAGTTGATAATTATTATGTTTATAAACAAAGAGTGAAAAATTTAAGGGGGTCTGAATACTTTCCGTACCCACTGTATATATATATATATATTCTTACCCATAGCTGGGTAGATTACTTGAAAATTGTAATCCGTTACTGATTCCAAATTACATGACAAAAAATGTAGTTAGTAATTACATTACACATTTTAGGTAATATAATCAGACTATACTTTTTGATTACTTTTATATTTCTTTTGACCTAACTAGTTTATCATATTGATTTAAATAGGATAATCTTGTACCATGTTGATATAAAAATGCAAAGAAAAAAAATATATTACATTTATTGTTATTAACAAAATGAAGTGCACTAAACATTACATTATGTCAATGTTTCTCAAACTGGGGGTCGTGAAGGAACTGCAGGGGGTTCGCAAGTTTAATGAAAAGCTAATAATTAATTAAATCATAAACATTTAAAATTTAAATAGCTCATTAAAATAACAAAATAAAACACTACCAAAAAATTTAATATTTAATTTGTTTACCTGCATATCATGTGATCATGAACCAAAGTCACAGAACTGTGAACATGCAGATGTGTTACTTTATTATGAATTTGTGCATTTTAATGTGTTTGAAAGATAAAAAGCCTTTCAAAGACACTGTAATACATGGTTAAATAACCTACTGATTGATAATTAATGTGTTCATCAGTAGTTGATGCGATGTTGAAATGTTGAGGAAACACTTCTTAAAATTGAAATGATTTTTGTAAATCCAGTGGTCAAATGCTGTGTAATTATAGCCACCTGACTAGTGACTGGTCTTTTGTATTATTTTTGTGGTCAAATGCTGTGTGGCCTCTCTGCGCAAATAGACACCTGACCAGTGACTTGTCTTTGTTGTCTTTGTTTTGGTAATGATTCACATCTATATTTTTTTAACTTGAGCCAATGAAAAATAAATAACTTGCCCGTAGGGCAAAAATAAATAAATAATAAATAAAAAATTGAAAAACAAATAACTTGCCCTTAGGGCAAGTTATTTACAGTGGGTACGGAAAGTATTCAGACCCCCTTAAATTTTTCACTTTTTGTTATATTGCAGCCATTTGCTAAAATCATTTGTTAATTTTTTTTCCTCATTAATGTACACATAGCACCCCATATTGACAGAAAAACACAGAATTGTTGACATTTTTGCAGATTTATTAAAAAAGAAAAACTGAAATATCACATGGTCTTAAGTATTCAGACCCTTTGCTGTGACACTCATATATTTAACTCAGGTGCTGTCCATTTCTTCTGATCATCCTTGAGATGGTTCTACACCTTCATTTGAGTCCAGCTGTGTTTGATTATACTGATTGGACTTGATTAGGAAAGCCACACACCTGTCTATATAAGACCTTACAGCTCACAGTGCATGTCAGAGCAAATGAGAATCATGAGGTCAAAGGAACTGCCTGAAGAGCTCAGAGACAGAATTGTGGCAAGGCACAGATCTGGCCAAGGTTACAAAAAACTTTCTGCTGCACTTAAGGTTCCTAAGAGCACGGTGGCCTCCATAATCCTTAAATGGAAGACGTTTGGGACGGCCAGAACCCTTCCTAGAGCTGGCCGTCCGGCCAAACTGAGCTATTGGGGGAGAAGAGCCTTGGTGAGAGAGGTAAAGAAGAACCCAAAGATCACTGTGGCTGAGCTCCAGAGATGCAGTCGGGGGATGGGAGAAAGTTGTAGAAAGTCAACCATCACTGCAGCCCTCCACCAGTCGGGGCTTTATGGCAGAGTGGCCCGACGGAAGCCTCTCCTCAGTGCAAGACACATGAAAGCCCGCATGGAGTTTGCTAAAAAACATCTGAAGGACTCCAAGATGGTGAGAAATAAGATTCTCTGGTCTGATGAGACCAAGATAGAACTTTTTGGCCTTAATTCTAAGCGGTATGTGTGGAGAAAACCAGGCACCTGTCCAATACAGTCCCAACAGTGAAGCATGGTTGTGGCAGCATCATGCTGTGGGGGTGTTTTTCAGCTGCAGGGACAGGACGACTGGTTGCAATCGAGGGAAAGATGAATGTGGCCAAGTACAGGGATATCCTGGACTAAAACCTTCTCCAGAGTGCTCAGGACCTCAGACTGGGCCGAAGGTTTACCTTCCAACAAGACAATGACCCTAAGCACACAGCTAAAATAACGAAGGAGTGGCTTCACAACAACTCTGTGATTGTTCTTGAATGGCCCAGCCAGAGCCCTGACTTAAACCCAATTGAGCATCTCTGGAGAGACCTAAAAATGGCTGTCCACCAACGTTTACCATCCAACCTGGCAGAACTGGAGAGGATCTGCAAGGAGGAATGGCAGAGGATCGCCAAATCCAGGTGTGAAAAACTTGTTGCATCTTTCCCAAAAAGACTCATGGCTGTATTAGATCAAAAGGGTGCTTCTGCTAAATACTGAGCAAAGGGTCTGAATACTTAGGACGATGTGATATTTCAGTTTTTCTTTTTTAATAAATCTGCAAAAATGTCAACAATTCTGTGTTTTTCTGTCAATATGGGGTGCTGTGTGTACATTAATGAGGAAAAAAAATTAACTTAAATGATTTTAGCAAATGGCTGCAATATAACAAAGAGTGAAAAATTTAAGGGGGTCTGAATACTTTCCGTACCCACTGTATATATATATATATATTCTTACCCATAGCTGGGTAGATTACTTGAAAATTGTAATCCGTTACTGATTCCAAATTACATGACAAAAATCAGTAACGTAATCCATTACGTTACACATTTAAGGTAATATAATCAGACTATTATACGTAATATAATATACTTTTTGATTACTTTTGACCTAACTCGTTGATCACATTGATTTAAATAGGATAATCTTGTACCATGTTGATATAAAAATGCAAAGAAAAAAAATATATTACATTTATTGTTATTAACAAAATGAAGTGCACTAAACATTACATTATGTCAATGTTTCTCAAACTGGGGGTCGTGAAGGAACTGCAGGGGGTTCGCAAGTTTAATGAAAAGCTAATAATTAAATCATAAAAATGTAAAATTAAAATAAATCATTTTAAAATAACTACAATCAAAATAAAACACTTACTAAAATTTTTTTTAAATAATTTGTTTACCTGCATGTCATGTGACCATTAACCAATGTCAGAGAACCATCAACATGCAAATGTGTTACTTAATTATTAACTTATTACATTAAAATCTCAGGGGGGACTTCAAATAAATATATTAGGTGAAAGAGATTCGGCTGACAAAAAAAAAAAAAGGGAATCCCAGCATTACATACAAATAAAAAAAATGTGAATTTGTGAA